ATGAAGTATTTCAAGGCCTAAAAGAAAACAACCTCCAACCTGGATTGATGTACCCCACAAAACTATGTGTCAGAATTGTTAGAGAAATGAGGCACTTTCATGTCAAAGAGCACCTGAGGAACTTAATGAATACCAAACCAGTACTCCAAAAAGTTTTAAACAATATCCTAGGAAAAGACAATGAGGATCACAACCCCAGGAAGCCCAGCAGAATGAATTCATCAGGCACAACAAGAAATCAAAAGCAAAGGGAGAGAATCCAACAAAAAGAAAAAGTCATGATAGGATAAGTCAGTACATATCAGTTATAACCATCAATGTTAATAGTATCAATTCACCAATCAAAAGAAATATACTGGCAGAATGGGTCAAGAAGGAAGATCAGACAATATGCTTCAAATAAGAAACATACTTGATTCAAAAAGAAACTCATAGACTGAAAGTTAAAGGATGGAAAACAATATCCCATATAATAGGAACCTGAAAAAAAGCAAGAGTAGCTATCTTCTTTGTGGATCAAATGTGTTTCAAGCCAACAATTAAGAGAGACAAAGAAATACACTACATCCTTGTAAAGGGAAAAATTCAATAGGAAGAGATGACAATCATAAATATATATGTACCAAATACTAGTGCACCCAACTGTATAAAACAAATATTAATGGACATGAAAAATCATGTAAGCACTAATACAGTAGTAGTGGGGGAATCTCAGTATCCCACTGTCACAAAAAGATCAACTAGACAAAAAACAAACAATGGAATCCTAGAACTCAGTCAAACTCTTGAACAAATGGACTTAACAGATGTTTACAGAACATTCCACCCCACAAAATCAGAATGCCATTCTTTTTGGCTGCACACAGGTCATTCTCCAAGATAGAGCACATACTGATCTCACAGAACATGTTTAAGTAAGTTAAAAGCAATTCTAGTTATTCCCTATGTTATCAGACCATAGTGTGATGAAATTGGACATCAATAGCAAAAGAAACCATAAGAATTTCATAAACTCATGGAAATTGAGCAGCACACATCTGACTAACCAATGGGTCACAGAGGAAATTAAAGAAGAAATCAGTTTCTACAATTAAATGCCAATGCCAATACAACATATTGGAGTCTGCTGGACACAGTGAAAGCAGTCTTACAAGGGAAATTCATAACAGTGAATACTCATATTAGGAAAACAGAATGAGGTCAATTAAATAACCTGGTGCCAAATCTTAAACCTCTAGAAAAAGAAGAGCAAAACAAATCCAAAGCTCATGCAAGGGAGGAAATTATGTAGATCAGAGAAGAAATCAATGCAATGAAGACAAGACAAATATATAAAATAATCAAGGAAGAAAAGAGTTGGTTCTTTGAAAAAATAAACAAAATTGACAAACCCTTAGCCAACCCTTATCAAAAAGAAGGAAAGAAAAGGCCTAAATCCATGCAATTAGGAATGAAAAAGGTGAAATTACAACGGACACAGCAGAAATCCAGAGGATTATTATACCTACTTTGATAAGCTGTATGCCAATAAAATGAAAAACACAGAAGAAATAGACACATTCTCAGATATGTATGAATTACCAAAGTTTAACAAAGAACATCTAAAAATTCTAAAAAATCCAATATCAATCAATGAAATTGAAAACATAATTAAAAATTTACCAACTAAGAAAAGCCTGGGGCCTGATGGCCTTACTGTTAAGTTCTACAAGACATTTAGAGAAGAACTACTGCCACCACTGTTTAAACTCTTCAGTGAAATTAGAAGAGAAGCAATATTCTCAAATTCATTTCTGGAAGCAAGCAAGCATCACCTTGATCTCAAAAGCAGAGAAAGACTCACCAAAAAAGAGAGCTATAGGCTAATCTCACTAATGAATATAGATGCAAAAATCTGAAATAAGATTCTGGCAAACAGAATGCAGAAGATCATCAAGAGGATCATACGCTCTGACCAAGTGGGACCCATCCCAGGGATGTAGGGATGGTTCAACATATGCAAATCAAGAAATGTAATATACTATATTAACAGAGCCAAGGACAAAAGCTATGTGATCATCTCAATAGATGCAGAAAAAGTGGTTGACAAAATCCAACACCCATTCATGATGAAAAAACCCTACAGAAAATTGGAATAGACAGTCTCTATCTCAACCCGATAAAAGCCATCTAGAAAATACAAACAGCCAGTATCATACTAAATGGTCAAAAACTGAAATCCTTTTCTGTAGAATCAGAAACAAGACAAAGATGTACCCTATCACCACTCCTGTTCAATATAGTTCTGGAAACATTAGCCACAGCAATTAGACAGGAGAATGAAATAAAGGAAGGAATAAAGATAGGAAATGAAGATGTTAGTATGTCATTGTATGCAGATGACATGATATTCTATATAGAAGACCCTAAGAACTCCTCCAAAATTCTTCTAGACTTAATAACAAAATTCAATAGAGTAGTTGGATACAAGATCAACACACAAAAATCAATAGCCTCCCTGTACACAAACAGCAGCATCACTGAGAGGGGAAATGGAGAAACAATTCCTATCACAATAGCATCCAAAAATACAAAATATTTGGGCATCAATCTAATGAAGGAAGTAAAAGATTTCTACTTTGAAAACTATAGCACTCTGAATAAAGAGATTGAAGAGGATATCAGAAAATGGAAACATATTCCTTGCTCCTTCCTGGGTAAGAAGAACCAATATAGTGAAAATGGCCATACTTCCAAAACTTCTATATAGATTCAATGCAATCCCAATTAAAATTCCAACAGCATACTTCACAGAACTTGATTAAACAATTCAGAAATTCATTTGGAATAAGAAGAGCCCTAGAATAGCAAAAGAATTTCTAGGCAACAAAGAAAAGGTAGGGGGAATCACAATCCCCAATTTGATACTATTCTATAAAGCTACTGTAATAAAAACAGCATGGTACTGGCAAAGAAACAGACCTACCTGAGGATCAGTGGAACAGATTAGAAGGTGCAGAAACAACTCCATATACACTCAGCCACCTCATCTTTGACAAAGGAGCCAAACCCCTTCACTGGAGGAAAGATAGCCTCTTTAATAAATGGTGCTGGAAAAATTGGGTTTCAATTTGCCAAACTTTGAAACTAGACCTGTATCTCTCATGCACTAAACTAAAATCAAAATAGATTAAAGATCTTAATATTAAAACAGAAACATTAAACTGACTGGAAGAGAGCTTAGGTAGAACTTTTGAAGACATTGGTGTAAGAAAAGATTTCATGAACAAAACCTCAGTTGCACATGAACCAGCAGCACAAACAATGAACAAATGGGGTCTCATTAAAAAGCATCTGCACAGCAAGAGAAACCACCAATAGTGTAAAGATGCAACCCACAATGTGGGAAAAAATTTTTACCATCTGTTCCTCAGACAAAGGCCTACTATCTAGAATATATAAAGAAGTTAATAAAATCAGACCTCCCAAATATAAAGACCCATTCAAAAAATGGGCATCTGAAGTGAACTTACATTTTTCAGACAAATAAGTAGAAATAGCAAATAAACATATGAAAAAATATTCAACATCATTGGTCATTCTAGAGATGCAGATGAAAACAGCACTGAGATTCCACCTCACCCCTAAAAGAATGGCTGCTGTCATGAAATCAACCAAAACAAATGCTATTTGGGCTGTGGAGAAAAGCAACCTTTCTCCACTGTTGGTGAGAGTACAGATTGGTGCAGCCACTGTGGAAATCAGTGTGGAGATACCTCAAAGAACTAGGATTAGCGGTCCCATTTGACTCAGCTACTCCTCTGCTGGGTATCTTTCCAAAAGAATTAAAAGAATCATACTACAATGATATATGTGCACCCATGTTTACAGTGGCACAGTTTGTAATAGCTAAAACTTGGAAACAGTGCAATTGCCCATTAACTGGAGACTGGATAAAGAAAATGTGTGTGTGTGTGTGTGTGTGTGTGTGTGTGTGTGTGTGTGTGTGTGTGTGTGTTTACAAGATGGAGTACTACTTAGCCATAAAGAATGAGAAACTAGAGACATTTATAGCTAAATGGATGACATTGAGGCCATAGTCTTAAGTGAAATAAATAGGACACAGATATGTAGACACCAAATAGTTGCTCTAGTGTGAGAAACTGAAAGTATAAAAAGGATAAAAATGCATAATAGATAGTGTGAAATAGGAAGAAAAAGTCCAAAGGGGAAGGGGAAGTGGGAGGGATATGGAAAAGGAAAGAAGAGGAAGGAACAAGTATGAGAAAATGAAAGCATGGAAACAAAGTCTTTGTAAATAGGGAGGGGTGGAGGGACTGAAGGGAGGGCAGGGGAATGGGGGAAAAATAAGATCCAAGATATATATGTAAAGCTGCAAATTTCCAATAATGAATGTCGGCATATTGTATACCTAAAATGTATCAATCAAATTAATGAATGAAAAAAAAGATATGATGGGTGGTTAAAATAAAGAACAGTACAGCCATTTAGCAAGAAGTTATTTTATTTAAATTGATTGAATAATCCGTTGACTGATTGAGAAATGCTGAGTGATGGCTGTTAATCGATAACTCTCTGATCATGCACATTTTCAGCCTGGTGTTCAGGTAGACAACAGCCACAAATAACTCTACACATGTGCCCATGCATACGCAAACATGCATATGGTGAGAGAAAGCACAGGCTTGTAAATAGTTTAGTTTTTATAGCTATATGGTTTATGTTACAATAATTTAATTTTGCTGTTGTTTATGAAATTAACCACAGAGAATCATAGATATGTGGACATATGTCTGCATCCATGTCTCTCTATCTCTATGTATGTTTTTATTGGTATGTACAAATATACCTATATTTGTAAAGGGTTAGGATCCTTCACAATTACATATGTAATCTTCTAGAGGTATTCCTTCTCTGAGTGAATGCTAGAACATTAAAGGAATCCGGACATCTCCACACTGTATTGAGGAGACTTTCTCCACGTTTCTCCTCCTCAGGTGAGTCCTCCAGGGCCTTCTGGAGAACCAGCTTCAGTGACTTCTGCTGCAGCTGCTGATGCTGTTTCTGCCTAAAGGAGCCGACAAAGAAATAAATGATGGGGTTGGCACTGCTACTGATGCTAGAAAGAAAAAAAGAAATACTCCAGAGATCATATGAAATCATAAAACGAATCGTGAAGCACACAAACCACAGGATGCCTACAGGCAGGCCACAGAGGAGGAAAATCAGCACTGAGAGCCAGAGGGTCACATACAGCCTGGTCAGTCACAGCCTCTTGAATCCACATAGGATCCTGACCAGCAGGGCCAGGCTGGACCCAGAGAGGATCACAAATAAAAAGATCAGCCATGCAGCTGTGATAAAGTGCATTATCAGATATAGACTGTATTTCCTTATAAACAGTAAGCTGCAGAAGGTGTATATCAGACTGATAAGAAGCAGGGACAGAGCCCAGAGCAGGGCACATGTGACAGCTGACATGTGTCTTGGGTGGTGGCAGTGGTACCAGATGGGGAACAGGACTGACAGGCAGCGCTCGGAGCTGATGGTGCTGACCATACTGAGGCCTGTGATGTAGGAGGACAACCCCATGGTGTGTAAGTATAGGTAGTACACGTGGTTAATGTTGTCAGTGAGTTTCCCCAGATAGAATATGATGAAGCTGCAGAGGAAAAGGAAGTCAGCGGCAGCCAGGTTGAGGATGTAGACTGAGATGGAGTTCCTGTGTGTGTGGAATCCCAGGAGCCAGAGCACAATTGCATTTCCAGCCAGCCCCGTCAGAGTGATGATGATCAGCCATTCTGGGATCAGGAGCTCGTTGTCGACAGGTGGAACAACAGTCGAGCTACTTGTATTCACTGTTGTGGGTTCCATGCCACCACTTGGGATGGTTGGATTCATGCTCATAAACTCTCCACTGGTGCCCCTGGGAATGGAAACAAGAACTGAGCGACTGCTGCACGATATCTGATTTTCAGGGCTACTGTGCTATGTGGGAATCACCATTCCTGTTTTATTGGGAACAAACAAAGGCTTATAGAGGTTAAGGAGATCAAAGGCTGGAGAGCCATAGAACTTGGATTAAACACCAATTATTTCTCTGGTGTGAATAAACTATAACAGTACATAAGATCCTAATGAGACAACTAACAATGTGAAGTGGGAAGAAAAGGGCTAAAGGTGTAGGGAAAGTGGGAAGGGTAGGGGAAAGGGAATAAGGGAGAGAAAAAAAATAGGAGAAAAGGAAAAAATGGAAATAAAATGTTTGTAAATGGGGAGGGGAAGGGGGTGAAGGGAGGGCAGGGACAAGGGGAAAAAATGAGAACCAAGACCTGTCACGTAAAGGCACAAGATCTCAATAGTGAATGTAACTGTACTGTATGCCTAAAATGTACCAATAAACTCAATGAGGAAAAAAAAAAAGAAAAAAACCAATTATGACTTTATTGGTACTTTTTAGGTATACACTACAGTTACATTCATCATTGGGAATTTGTACCTTTACATGACAGGTCTTGGTTCTTTTTTTCCCCCACTCCCCCACCCTCCCTTTGACCCTGCCACCCCTCCCTGTTTACAAAGACTTTGTTTCCATTTCTTAATTTTCTCATGTTAATTCCATTCCCTTCTTTCCTTTCCCCTCCCCTGCCCATTTCCCCTTTTCCTTTGTCCCTTTTCTTCCTATTTCACATTATCTATTATATCTTTTGATCCTTATTTACACTTTCAGTTTCTTACACCAGAGAAGCTATTCAGTCATGTCAAAACCAATTATTATTGACTACAAGTGCTCTCTCTACTGTTGTACAGGTCTTCTACAGACAGAGTAAAATTCTTTTTTTTTTGTACCGGGGATTGAACTCAGGACTTTGTGCTTGCAAGGCAGGCATGGCACCACTGAGCTAAATCCCCAGCCCAGACACAGTAAAATTCTAAAGTCCAGTCATACACATGGATCTCAGCAATTCATTCCAGAAGTTATGTGTCTTGAATTTATTGAGCAAGGAAGAGAAAAATCTAAAGTGGGGTCTATGAGAATAAGAAAGAACTACGGTCTGAGGCATTGTGCTGAACTGGGCCAGAAATTTTCTCTTAGGTAAAAAATTGAAAAATACGAAGAGCCTGGATCATATTTGTGACTAAATGTGATCGATCTGTATAGGATTAAGAAACCTTGCTTTGGGGCATGAGGGCAATGCTACCATTTGCTCAGACAGGTGTGAGGATTTCTGGCCCTGGTGTACTCATGTATTAGCTACTTCCCCGTTGTGGGACAAAATAAATACCCGACACCCACAATTTAAAGGAAAAGAGGTTTATTTGACTCACAGTTTCCAGTGAGTTCTATCTTTAGCTGGCTCCAAGGCAGAAATAGCATGGTGGAAAGGCCTGGTGGAGGATAGGATAGCTCCTCATCTCCCCGGAGCCAGGAAGCAGAGGAGGAAGAGTGCAGCGGGGAGGGAGATGCTCTCTCCAAAGGAACGCCACTAGTGACAGCTTCTTGGGACTAGATACTATCTCCTAACAGCACATTCAGCTACGAACTCATGAATGGACTAATTCATTGATGAGTACAATTACCTTTCAAAAGTTTCACCTCTGAGCACATGAGACTTTAGACAGGAATTCCAGATCTAAAGCATAACAGCTACATAGCTCGGTGTGTCAGAAATCGAAGTCAGGAGCACTTCTGTTTCCCTTGTGTCTAACTTCATGTGTGGATGCTGTGTTCTCAGTACTTACTTAATGAATGAATGCATGAATGAGGGGGCGTAATGGTAGTAGATGCTTTGGGTTAATTGGAAAAATAAAGAAGACATAATTGAAAGGATTAGAGCATGCAAGGAAAAGCGAAGGAAAAAAATTCATTCCTAATTCTTTTTGCGGACAGCTCTGTGTGTTAAGAGCAATTGCTAATGTGTCTTAAATAATTGAAGCTGGCCACCAATGTGCCTTTTAGGGCATAAAATAGCTTTGCTGAGCACATAGAAGGATTTTGGTGCACAGTGTGGGAGTAGAATTTGAGCTGGAGCAGAGCTGGCCAGGAATATAAAGGTCAAAGAGCAAGTGGGTTTGAGGTCGGAGAGCCACTGAAAGAGCTACTTGAGCTATGAAAATATTTAAAGAAAGCATAGTGTGCTGTGCTGTGAAGTGTGCACTACAAACCTACTCAATTTCTTTTCCCAGAAGATGTTTTGTAGAATTTACTTTGCAGATGAAAGCTTTTATGTGAGGTATCTTTGAGTGAAATGCAAGTGCAGAGCTTGGATCGTAAAGTGACAGGTTCACGGAGATTTTAATGCAGACAGCAGCACCTTATGTCTGAATGAAAGATAGAAGGTGAGCGAGAGTTTACCGGATATTTTTATCTTTGAATCTTCTCAAGGACCTACAGGGTGCGAGCATTCTTTCCATTTTACAGTGGATTGGGTTGGAGCACAAGAGGATGAGTGATTTGTCCCTATTTGACACCGTGGGAAGAACTCAGCAGTGTTGCCTCAGGGTCCACTGTTTTGACCACAGACTGCACCACAGAACTGTGGACAGCACACGAGAAAGCAGAGCAAATCTGAGGGCAAATCCAAGTTCGCTGCCAAAATGATGTATTAAATAAGATCTATCATGAAAACCTCCAGGAACGAGGGGAAGGAAAGCCAATAAAACACGAAAGGAGAAACAGGACCGGTGGACAGAAGCCAGTCAGGAGTAGATATCAGGGTCTTGAAGCCTCCCTTGCCTCACAAAGGCAGCCACGGCTGCCTGATTTACCAGTGACACTTGGACCAAAGGCCCCAGCTGGAAAGACCACACATCCTCCTTCGGGGGGCTGAGATGCATCCAGATATAAATACATCCATCATGAGCTCCCTGAGAGAGACAATCTCCCATCCTTACACACCCCAACGAAGATGTGGGAGGAAACTGAAAATCCCTGTTGTTTGTGCTCAGGGAACTCCAGTTTGAACAAGTGCTTTTAGAGCCCCTGGAGACACCACCAGGAGACTGGATGGCATGTGGCGAGATTCAAGTGTTTCAGATTCTGGATTTCTGCCCGCTGGGTTGTGTGTTGGCAATGACAGTTTTTCTCCACTTGCCTGGTCATCCTCTCCTGCTTCAACTGTAGTTGCGATTACATTCTCATTCCATCAACTGATTGTCTTTCTAGTCATTCCAGTAACTGGTCTATGTATTTTTCTCTATAGCTTGCCTTAAGGTGCTTTACTTTGCATCATCAATTTCCCTTAACTATGGCTATCTTTGTAAATAGTCAATGAAAAAAAAAAACCTCATTTATTTCACTTTGGCTGACTGCTCCTTTCTGGTGTCTTCTCAGATGTTCCATGGGGATAGCATTGGAAAGATGTAAGACAATGAAACCTGGATTTACAGCAGCTCAGACCTGGGATGTAATGCCCACATTTACGTTGCTCGCTGAGTGTAAGAAGCAGTGTTCTCCCTGTGACAGCAGCAGATTTGAATGGCTGGGAGAGGTGGAGTGGGGTGACGGATCAGAATGGACAGTGATATGGATAACTCCATCAAGTCGAGGCTACTAGTACCCAGTTTTCAGAAGGAAGCTGCATGTCCCCTCCTCTTCCCTGAAGGAAGTTTTAGGACCCCATGTATGTAGTATCCAGAGTGGAAAAATTATAAACTTAGATAAAACCTTAACAAATTCTATAAATAAGGTAGGTCTTGATATATACCCTTACCTGTCTTCTACTCTGTTCAGAGGTGGAGAGCTGAACTGTGCACAAGAGGAAGAGGCTTTCTTGGACTAAATGACACCATAGTACCCTTCTGTTTCTTCTCAAGTAAGAGATGCTTACAGCATCTGGATTCAAGCTGGAAACCAAGCAAGGTTTATCAAAATTCTGGGCAGCCCCTATGATTTTTTTTTCACAGGCAAATCAGAGACTAGAGAGGTTTGTGATGTGATTCTTTACAGAGAAGTTTCTGGGTATTTCCAAATTCTACTCACATATTAGCCTCTCTCATCCCATAACATGACTTACTTCTCTGTTAATAATTGCTATTCCGGCGCCTTTAATTGCCAAAATACGACCAGGCCAGCAGCAATAGCGAGCACTATGAGTTTGACTGTGAGGCTTTCTATCTGAAGAATAAATTTTATCTTAGTATTATTTAAGGCTCTCCAAGATCTGAGTTTCCTTTTTAATTTTGCATGCTTTCTTGATGTAGTAGTAATGCAGTAGTGTGTGTCTTCATTCCCAAGGCCCGAGAAGGGAGTGCAAGTTGCCAGTGTTCCTCAATCCTGTTGTGGTCACTGCTTGCTACTGCTACCTTTTTTATTCCCTCCTCCTCCTCCTCCTCCTCGTCCTTCTCCTCCTCCTCCTTCTTCAGGTGTTCTGCAATATCTAGATGTCCCCTAAGAGCCTCACTTACTCATAGGCTAGGCTTTTGGAAGGTGATTTGATTATGGGGGCACTGCAGCTAACTTTCTATTAGGAGGTGAGCCCTGGTTAGAGGTAGGTCAATGGAAGTGTGACCTGAAAGGTTGTATCTTCCTCCCTGGATCCTCCCTTCTCTCTCCGCTTCCTAACAGTCATGATGTGAGCGACTTTCCTCTGCTATAGCTTTCAATTAACTATGGACTAAAATGCAAGCAAAAATAAACCTCTCTTCCATTAAGTTTTGTGTGTTGGGTTTTGTGCCCTAGCATTGGGGAAAATGTGTATTTCAACTTTTAGCTTATCATACGAAACAGTGGATCGTTGACTTCCCTTATGAAATGTAGAGTTCAGCTTACATTATGTATCCTTCTTTTTCCTCACTCAAAATAATACAACTTGTTATTTATTTATTTATTCTCATTAGTGCAAAATATTCAGAATATTATCTTTATGATTTTCATTTTCATTCTTTATGCTACAGGCAAATTAAGTTACTTATTGTTTTTAGTAG